TTTCTCTCTCGTTCTAACCATTCTCATACTGACATGCAGTTAATCCCACTAGAGAAAATTCATTCTTCACGTGACTCAGTTCGTAAGGCCAGGGAGTCGCATTTGATAGATAAGGCAATGACTCTTGAACCTCATGGCCTAAACCGCCGTGACGAATTATTGTCATCCATATCCTTAGTATTTTTCCTATCCAGTTTTTATGTTGTACGTCATTTCCGCCTCTCCCTTTTATTGCGACATTCTCCATTTATATAATATTGCTACATAAGTTCAGTAACATCTGTAAACCTGAAGAAGGCTGGTATGGCCAGCCGAAATATTGTTATAAAAAAACAATATACGTTGTTTTAAATCAGCTTTGCTGTAGTCTTCGGACTTCTCGTTCGTGTTTCTTTATATTTTGGCTGATTTGATCTCTTTTCTAGAGATCCAACGTTTACAACTAGCAGGATCTTCGTCCACGGTTTTTGCAGCTGATTTAATCCTTTATTATTCTTGCCGCCATCTTGAAGACAAGATCTGCTAGACGTCTCGCCCGTTATCTCCTTCCCGCCTTCCTTTGCGTGCACATTCTCATCGAGGGAGAGACGTCTGGGTACTAGGCAGACGCCAGGTATTATTTTAATACTTAAACGTTTGATGTGCTAATTTTGTCTTAAGGTGGCTCCCTAGAGTAAATTGGCCGTGCGCAGCCTGAGCACTAGTATGGCGCGAGCTTTAAAATCCGCGCGACGCCCACGCAAAAATTAAAACAAACATGGCCTCTCAGTTTCGAAATATTCAACCCAAAAAACTTTATTAACTTTCTGTTGAAGCTCTTTGTGCAAAAAAGTTTGATTAGTGTAGGTTAAACATTTATGAGAGGAGACAATGCTACACCGGTTACAAGTCACCCCCCGTGGCGGGGGAGTTGAGTGTCATTGGTCGGGCTTGCCATTGGTGTCAGCTGGTCACACGGCGAGACCCCCCAGAAGTCTAAAATTACTTTGATCTCTAATAGAACACGTTCCAGGCGTTTGCAAAAACTGTAATAAAAAAGGTTTACGATAAAAGAAAGTTAAAACTCTGAGCGGTTGCTGTAGAATTTCTTTTTTTTTTTTTTTTTTTTTTCATTGTGTGCCTTTATCTCGTCGTGAAACCTTGTCGAAACGTCAACAATGATTTGCCCGGAACAATTAGGGGCACCAAACGTCAATTTTTGGAAAATATCTGTTCAGAAGACAATTTGAGATCTCTAATTTTCGGAACATTTGTTGTAAAATTTCTTGCTTGCCTACCTCTCCTACGATTTTCGAACATCTAAAAAATGGTATAATTGCCCATTTTTAACGGATTTTTACCCTAAAAAGGTCACCTAGAATTTTCGGGAGCCTCTTTTCTGGCTGAAATTTTCGAAAGGGTAATTTTTGATCCCTACAATTTTCGGATCACTAGACTTTCAGCTAGGAAATCCGAACAGATGAAAAATTTTTATGGGGATAAAAATATGCATATATCTACCGTTTAAATACTAAAATACGTTTAACAATGCTATGTTTAAGTGGTTTTGAACTATGTTCTCGTTGGGTGCCCCTGAACAATTCACTCCGTTGGCTATAAGTTTTGCAGAGCGGCTGCTCTTCAGCCAGTGTCGAAACGGTCTCTAGAATACATGCCTCTAAATTTCCAGTAAACATAAAGAATCTTTTCATTTCAAAAAGCTAACAAATCGCTTGTCTATGGCGGCTTTAGCCTAGTGTTGAGTACTGATGTTCTGATTTACGTTGATGTTATCTCCGACAAACAGTCCATTTGTTTTTTCCAGTCAGATCCGCACGCCGTCATTCCCAATAAATTGGCCTTCCCTAGTCTTCACTGCTCGATCTCCAAATATACTTTGAAGACTCTGATCTCATAAACCTTTGCACAAACACGATTCAAATAAATATCAGTCCAAAGCATTTGTAATCTGCGATCGCAAATCAGATGAGACCAGATCTATGACGCTGGTAGCATACCTGGTTTGATTGATGTTTCGAGTGCTAAGCAATCAACAGTACTAGCACGGCACCAATCAGAAGCTGCGTTCGTGGGCGAACGCAGTTTTTCAAAATCGTGGGGTTTGCTGGCAAGCGGTTCCTTCTTTCCCCTCCCCCTCCCACGTCATTCCTTTTTTTGCTCTCTTCCCAACTTTCTCGACGAACTCGCGCGGAAACGCTTGCTACGCAGGCTAACCTAGGGCAAGTGCTTGTTTTCGCGCGAAAGCGAGGCTAATGCGGTTCACTTCTTGGCAAGAACACAAACAAACATGAGAAAACTACAGCTGAGTTACCCGAAAATGAGGAAAATCTTAAAGGTGTAATGTTTCGATGGGCTCCAAACTTACTTATAGGCTTAAAAAATCATTGTTACGTAATTCAATAGGAAGATCAGCTCTACGTCACCGAGAAAAACGAGCGAAACCAGAAATTGTCCTGAGGAGAGGGCTGGTGAGCCAGTTCAATTACAATGCGAAGATGGTCTCAAAATCCTCAAAACATGGTAAAACCCTGAAGCTATTTTAATGTCCATTTTCAGTGATCGTTATAACTTCTTTAAGCAAGCCTTTCATTAAAATGTGGTAGTTATCGAAAAAATGCAATTAAGTAACACAACGTGACTTTTCACTTGACATTTTCTAACAGAGCGGATGAAAAATCTTGCGTATTTGAAATAAACCGAACAAGTACGTTCGGTGGAAAAATATATATCACGACAGGGCTGAAGTTCTGCATAGATTCCTTGCACTGTAAGGAATTTAAATCGGAATGGACAAAGGCGATTTAAAAGGTATAAGTTTATTTATACACTTAGCTTACATCGTTTATAAAAACATTCAGCCACAAGTAGAAAAACGATCGACGTATGCACATTTCACTCGATTAGAAGTTGAATACAGACCTATTATACAGATTATAATACTAATCCATTTACAGATATACACACGAGTAAAACAGGATAATAAGAAGTTTGAAAATAAAAGGGAATCGAATATTGAAGTTTAAACATAAGCTTAATTTGCCACTTTCAAGCTGAACTTTACTTCTTCTTTTGGCTTCAGTCGTGGCTTTTTTCATGTCTCTGTTAGTTCGACCGGCTCCTTCCATAGAATAAAAAGCTTATTAATTAAATTTATGTTGAAGATGTTTAGGCAGGTACTTATAAAGACAGAGATTTCAGCACACACAGAAGCCGTTTTGATAGATGCATAATAATTACGTAATGCTGAGAAGAAAGTCATCGTAATTTGGTGGGGAACAAAAGAAAAAAAAAATTGTTTACGTAATTGGTGACAAAAGATATTTCCTAAAGTTTTAAAAACACAACTACCTACCAACTGGGGAGCCGACGGTTTCAAATATGTAACAAGACGTAGAGAGTTTTGTTGCGACAAATGCCGTTCAAATGGATCGATGTAGCTTTTAACAATGACAGAACTTGTTAAACATATGCTACGTGCAAGGGGACGCACTCTATTGTAGGCCAACTGGCAACAACTCCCAACATTGTTAGATGATACATGTTGCGTCTGTTTGCCCTCCCTGTTGCATCTTGTTTCTTGTTGTTGAGAGTTGCTATGCAAGGTTTGAAACCGGTCAAACTTTAAGTCATTACAGAAACGCGCCCATTCAAAGACGTCGATCGTGAAAATGCAAATAACTGAAAAATGACGTTAATTTAGTGTCAATCAAGAAATCCCCTGGGTATATCCCTTTCCTGGTTATTGTTCCTGCTCAGACATCCGCAACATTTGCCTATTCTTCGATGAAGAATAGAACTTTACGCGACTAACAATAGCTCAGTCTGTTTAAAAACTGTCTAAATTTACTCCGAATTAGCATGTGACTTTTTGTTGTTAAACGCTTCAAAATTGAAAAATCCTCGATGATTGTTGTTGATTTTGCCTTAAATAATTCAATGCCCTGACTTAAAATTAATTTTTACCTTTTACAAACTTCTTGGTGTTCGAATCGATCGATGAAATATGAGCGCAACCGATGCGTTAATAGTTTGTTTACATTTTGTCACGGGTTTTGGATAATATTATAAACCTTAAAATTTACGGGCAAATTCGACGAAAAAGCACTCTCACTTACATTCTTCATTTAAGATATTGATTTTAGCAAAGTATAAGGCAAAATTAAGAGCGATACTTTCTTTAAGAACGCTATAACTACACATTTAACGGCCAAACCTAAACAGCGATCTAATCCGTCTCTTGAAAACAAGAGCAAACGGACACAACAGCCTGGCAACAATGCTGCGACTGTCTGCACGAGACTAATGAGATAAGTTTTCGAGGGGATAGCTAAAAAAGATGATACCCCTTATAGAGAACAGACTAAGTGTAAAAAGAATACGTTGCCCTGTTCTTCCAGCTGATATAGTTAGATTGATAAATTTTAGATTATAAATTTTAGGTATTCTTAATTATACTTTATTGTAATTATTACAGGTGGTTATAGTTGTAAGGCGCATTTGATCATATTCGGATGTTAATTTGCCCCTCATAAGAAATAAATTATTATTATTATTATCATTATCATTATTATTATTATTATTATTGAACTTAAACGAGATACAAGAACAGACGAAGGGGAAAGGATCATCTACATCTGCTTAATTAACTCTTTGAAGCGAAGATCGATTGGCAAGAAAAATCGTCCTTGCAAACAGGCCTTATACAGTGGAATTACAGCTTTTGGGTCAATCACAGTTATAATGATAATTGCATATTTTCACCTACAATTATTATATTTTCTGCTGTGGAGCGAAAACCAGGATCATTATCTAGTAATAGTGGTACACCTACTGTAAGATTTTTTTGGACTTTGCTAATTATAAAAAGAGAGAGAAAAGAAAAATAGAAATTAGCGCTGTTTTAAACACCATTAATACATATTTCATGTTTTAAATGCGTAGTTAACTGCTCTCAAAATATTTTGTTATGATTTGTTTTAGAATGTGGAAGAGCACTTGGTATGGAAAATTATCAAATTCCGGATTCTAGAATCAATTCACCCGCCCGCCATTATTTTCGTCGGTCGCCCAGATATGCTCGTCTCAATGGACGTTTGCCCTGGTGCGCTGTAGGACAGACGTACTTACAAATTGACCTGGGCAGAACTTTCAAGGTGACGTCAATAGCGACCCAGGGAGGTAGAACGGATACAGGGGACAAGTGGGTGAAACAGTACAAAGTCGCATTTTATGCTGGAGCAACACGTGTCATGTACAGTGAATCTGGGTTAGAAAAGGTAAGAAATCTCAGATTACATTGTAAGCCACATATATATTTCTTTCTTTATCATTATATTAGTGTTGTTTTTCTCTTTCTTCGTTTACTTATTTATTGTTGGTTGTACCTTTTACAAGTCACATATGATTGCGACGCTATGCATGTTTTTTGATCAAGGTCTCCTTTTCAGGTTTTCAGGTATTTAGACATCGTCTTTTAAAGGTAGCTATAATCACAATAGAGTAGTTTAACATTGGATTTTGTATTGTAAATTGCTAGAGTGATTTTACTTGACCAGTGAACCAGATACTAACTACTAGACAGTCCAAAGTATTAACGGCGGGGTAAAGAAGAATATAGAAAATGCAATTAGTGCATCTTGAAAGTGCGTAGTATTCTACTACCTATTTCACGGGTTAGGTAAAATTACTCTCATGTGTTTAATACATGTGAGTATTATTTTCCTTTGTCATTTATTCCATCTTCATTGTTGTCTCTAGGGAAAAGTCCTTCTTCTATTCATTAATTTACATGGCTGGGAGACCATCTTCGCAACCCTTCTTTGACAATGTTATCACTGGTTGCGCGGGGGCAACAAATCAACCCTTTCGGTATTATTACCTAGCTATGCTTATACGCTTCTAATATGGATGTTGTCACCTCTTTCCTCAGCCTATACAGGGAAATAGAGATGCCTCTTCTGTCATGAAATACCAGTTGAAGGAGCCTTTTGTGACCAGAAAATTGCGTATTTACCCTGGTTTGCAATTCCAACCTTTCTGCTTAAGAATGGAAATATATGGATGTAATCCTAATCCTGGTAAAATATTATCTTTGTAGCTTTAGCTCTGTTCTGTTCACACATCTTACATCACGCAATAGGGAACACGGCAGTATAGATTAATAACCAAATTGAGAACTGAATGAGAGTGCAGATCCAGCCGGTATGCAACCACTGCTTTCTCTCTCAACCCTATTTTAGACTTTTTTTGTATCAAGTCCTTAAATGACGATAAATGAACTGAGAAGAATCACTCACGTTACGGCTGAACGGTTGAGTTCCCCGTCTACGAATTAAGCCCCAAAGTAGTATAATACGCAGCCACTTTAATTATTTACTCAAAATATATCGCCGTTTCTGATTGGCTCAAAACATGGGCTTATTGTTCATAACCAATTGGCACTGACCAAATGTGGAAGATGCAAACAATACCCAAACAACCTCATTTTGAGGCAAATATTCCATCGATCAATTTTGTTTCTAGGCGCGGCAGCCTAACTGTTTCTTACCAAGTGAACTATAGAAACGGCTATAGACGACGACATAGCTTAATTTCTGGCTCAAACTGAAAGGAAAAAATGCAACAATACGCAAAAGTTATTTTGCTAGGTGGATGTTATTTCCTTTTGAAAGTATCTGCAAGAAATTTAATTAAAAACATCTAATATGCTAAATACTGAGGACTGACGAGAAATAGGCTTTAGTTACATAAACAAAAAAGCAATTGATTAATTTGGCTTTTGTATAATGTGAAGAATTATGCAGATTTCGAAGGCTGTTATCAACCTTGGCCGATAACA